GACCCGGGAGAGAAAACTCATCTGGCCAACACGGGATGCATCCGTGGCGGGTGGGGGGAAGTCTTGCGAAGACGGGGCTTTCCGCTCAACTTGTGAAGCTTGCTGGTTTCTTTGTTTTCGGGGCCGCTGTGTCCGATAACGACCTTTGCCTCGTTATCCCCGAAACGCATATTAAAGTTCACACCCCTGCATACGCTAATGGAGATTATTGAGATGGTGCTAAACGTGCGTGACTATAGGACTCGTCTCTCCACCCCAATCACTATAGGACTCAACCTCTCCGCATCACCTTGGCGGGGGGAGAGAAACCTGAACATCGTACCAGCGGGGCGGGTCGCACTGATACCGCGAACATAAAAGGGGAAAATCAGTGCCCCTGCAGAACCTCTTTTTTCCCTGGACTTCTTTTTTCCCTGGAGATCACTCCGACGAACGAACCAGAAACCCCTCGTTGGCTGGACCAACGCTGGAACCAGGACCGGTGAGCTCTTTCTCTCTCTCTCTCTCTCTCTTTTTTTTTCTCTCTATCCCTCCGTTTCTCTTTCTTCTCTCTTTTTCTCTTAAAGTCAAGGACGTAACACAAGGCATACCTTACCACTCGCTATAATTCGTGGTATAATTTGTCGTGCATCTGTTGCGAAGTAACGCAAGGCGTACTTTACCGCTTGCCGTCCTGTGTTTTACCCTTTGCCGTAATTTGTTAGGTACCTAACCAATTATCGCCGACGTAGTTAAGACATACATTAATCACCGTGGGAAGCTAACAAATGTTTTTGTACGGACCTCGAGAGTTGTCTCACCTGAGAGACCCCGCTGTCGGGGATTTGCGACTCTGAGTCGCTTCCCCCCCCTTCTCTTGCGTGTGGGGGGGTGACATACCTTTCCCATTCTCTCCCCCATCCTGCCCGGGGGACCGAGGAAGCGGCTGAGCTGCCTCCGAGGGTGAACACCCGCCGTGAGACCCGTGGTCCCCCCCCCGCAGCACAGCGCAGGGTCCACGGCAGAGCCTTCCTTTTCCCTCTGGCAATATTTAGGGCTCGCGCCTGAACTCCACTCACCGCCTTTCTCCCTCTGGGTCAGGTTGTTCTGAGACTTGAAGGCTTCCATGGCTGCGAACCGGCCTCAGCCCTGCGGCAGAGGAGAGACTTTATTACACCTCCGCTCCCAAAAACGCCGCGGGGAACCCCTCCGAAGGACCCGGCAGCACGAGCGGGGCTCCAGCCCCAACCCACGCAGGGGCGTTACAGGTATGAATATACATTAAAAGACATAAAAATACATAAATTACACCCATTTGGAGTTTTCAGCTGTGAATTTGGCCTCTCCCGGCTCTGCGGGCACCCTCCTTCCCCAGTGTCACCCTGTGGTTTGTCACCGCTGTGTCCCCCGCGGGATCCATCACCCCGCAGAGGGGGAACGAACCCCGTAAAGGGTTCGGGGGCTGCTCCGAAGCCAGGCAGGAGACTGGGACCAGTGTCCTGAGGGAACTGGCAGGCGATGTGGCACCCAGGGAAGGAGCTGGGGGGGGCGGGGAAAGGCGTCCCCAGGCTGCTCCCCCCAGGACAGACCCCCCGCCCACAGCACAGCCAGCACCATGGCAGGGGTGGGCCCCGGGGTGCCACCTCTGGGGTGATGGGGGGGATCCCAGGTTGGGGGGGACAGAAGAGGACCCTGGGTGCCACCTCTGGGGGTGAGGAGGG